CGCCAACCCCCCCCCCAAAACTGATCTTTTTTTTATTTGAATGAGGAAAGACATTTATGTTAAGCAGCTTACAGAGAATCGTAGCTACGTTTAGAGAACATTCTATCAACGTGAGTCAAGATGTACATTGAGAACACAGCAACAGGCTCTCCGTCGAGCATGTCGGAAAGCACAGGGAGGTTTATCTGAAATATGAGAAACGACAGTTGTGGGGTTTCATAACCGAAAACTGACTTTTTAAGCCACCGCTTGGCAGGCCTGCGGGCTCGCGAGCTCACCTGAACGCTGAAAGCACCTCTGGTCTTCAAGCAGTGAGCACAGTCAGTACCGAAGAAAAGGGGGTCTGTTGAGTGGGTCCTGCTGATCCGTAATCCTGGGGCCCCGAGTAAGGGACTCCATCAAACACCCCCTGACCCTGCATCGCCTCCCCGTGCTCGGAAGATAAGTTATGAGCGTGTGGAACAGCCAGCACCACTTGCAAACAGTGGCGAACCTGCCTGGCGAGCAGGCTGCCAGGGGAGGTGAACTTGAGCTCGCCCAGACCTGTTCCCCGGCTGGGGGGTCTGTTGAGTGGGTCCTGCTGATCCGTAATCCTGGGGCCCCGAGTAAGGGACTCCATCAAACACCCCCTGACCCTGCATCGCCGGGGGGTGGGGACGGGTGAGAGGAGATGGCTGGACACATGGACCTGCACTGGAGTCAGGTGGGAGCAGCCCGTGTTACATACGAATAAACCTCTTCCCCAAGCAGATGCCTGTGACCCTCAGGAAGGCAGACAGCGGTGACGCGGTTTGCTCTTCCAGGCACGCGTCCTGTCGGCTGGAGGGAGCCCTTTTTTTTGTATTTTCGTTTTTGTGGGTTTTTTAAAAATATATTTTTATTGATTTCAGAGAGGAAGGAAGAGGGAGAGAGAGATGGACACATCAATGATGAGAGAGTCATCGATCGGCTGCCTCCTGCACACCCCACACGGGGGATCGAGCACACAACCCGGGCCTGTGCCCTTGATCGGAATCCAACCCGGGACCTCCTGGTTCCTAGGCCGACGCTCAACCCCTGAGCCCCCGGCCGGGCTTGAGAAGCAGCTGTCACCCTGTGTGTCGATGCTTAAGCCTCAGCAGAAGCTGCGACCGGGCTTCGTGCGCGGCTCACGCGGAATTTCCAAATGAAGTTGTAGGAGCAACAGGCCTGGGAACCGATGGCGTCACGTGACTGAAACCTGCCCACTCCTCTGTGTGATCACCTGACGGGAGAGGGAGAGGGAGGAATTCTTGTTCTAGCTGAGACTTTGTTTATGAATGCTGTGCAGGTTCGGGCTTGGTTCTGCGCGTTGTTGAGAGGGACGGGAGGCGTAGCAATAGATACACCCACCGCCCAGCGCCCTGGGGACCGGCCGGGCCTGGGGGGAATTCTTGAACGAGGGTGTAGGTTGCACAAGACACACACCCAGGGCAGCACAGGCTGGCGGGGCGCAGCCCCAGGCACACGCTGCCTGCGCCTCTCGTTACTCCAGGCCGCTCCCCCC